TTTTCCCCTATGTAAATAAAAGTATATTTTTTTTACATAGATGTTCTTTACTCTCTAATGCAAAGCACTAGGTTAGTGCACGAATCTCGACTGATTCAGAATCCATTTTCAACACTTAGTATCCTAGATACATTCAACAATGTTGAGATCTAGTGACCTTGGATAGTGATGGTGACTTCAAACTCAGATGAATGTTCTTCTAATCATAATTTAACACACAAGTTTTTCCATCCACCCATTAAAATTGGAAGTTCAACTGGTCAGACTAGCCCGAATTGCCGAGTTGAGCTGTATGCAAGGGTACTATGGTCAAACCAATAATGATGAAATATTCCACATTCCTACACTGATTTTGTTAAGACCACAGCATTGTATCTTTACTGCATGAAATGATTCTTGTCAATTGTTACTTGTTACTTTCATTCCAAATCATTTTTCAGCCATGCTGCTGTGAGAAGTTCAAAGTTTTACCCAAATTCTTATAATTACTGTACATTCTTGAAACAGTCATGTGTGAATATACCACTTTCATTTCTATCACTGAAATTCTCTAACCATTCCATGGTCATAAATTATAGACTACTTAAAAATCACATAAATTACCATTAAAGCATACTAGTGTGCCTATTATTTTATTATACCTCAAAATGAACTCATGATATGAGTTCATTTTGAGGTATAATAAAATCATGAATGAACTCATATCATGAACTCACTCATGAGATCATGAGATGCAAAATATCAAATATCAGCATAAAATGTAATTCCCAAATATATCAAGAATACAATATATACAACAAATTATGGAATGTATAATGTTGTTGAGCTTGACAATATTAATAGTCTTATGTTTTACGCATTCTATTGTATAGTTTATAATAATAACTTTAAAAATATATTACAAAAAAATAATTTTGATTTTCAGTTCATCAAGAGATTTTTGTGACTTTTTTATAACAATTTATTTTTAGATGGTAAATTTGCTTTCTTTGATTCTGTTTCCATTACAAAATTAATAAAACTCTATTTTATTTAAATGGTGTTATATTTTTATATGTAATACTCAAGAAATTCATTTACAATTCAGTATGTGACTTTCATCGATTTGATTTACACATGTTTAATATACATTTGAACATGTGCAGAACCATATTTGAACATTTCAGCCAACATAATCAGATTAAAAGCAGCAGCAGCAGTAAAGTATTTTTAAAAACATTTATTATAAAAAAAAAAAAAAAAAAAAAAAAAAAAAAAAAAAAGAAGAAGAACATACAAAAAAAAAGTCTATATCAGTAATTACAGTAATGTATTTACAAATATCACAATAATCTACATGTGCGATTCATCTGAAGAAACATACTGCAGTGATTCCCAGGAGGAATTAGCAAATTAAAATTTGCTTTAAAACAACTTAAATCAAAATAAAACTATGCTATTCATTATTAAAAACAATAAAGACAATAGGTAACAGTGTCACACAGCAGGGTACTATACCTAATATTGGGTACGTCATAACTATTGAGATAATTGAATATGATTTAAAATAGCTAAAATGCAATCTGTAATAACTATAAAGTACATAAATACCATTTTAATTACATAGCTCCCTTCCCAAAAGAAATTATCACGTATATAATTTCAATGAGTTTATTTTGGTTAATGTATATTTATAATATACATATAAGTTGTACATTATGTACTATAATTAAAATACTATAATGCAATCAGACATTCTATTAAGGTTCACTGGTATTCAGATTTCATTTTTTTCAATGATCATCAGATGGTGAAGCTCATAAAACTATCATATGCAAATTAGAAAATAATGACCCATAATAGTCCCAAATAATTAAAAAAGGAAATGCTTACCAAAATAACAATATTGGAAAACCAGAACAAGACTTCTAATTATCTTTTACTGACAAAAATTTAGCACTGAATTACTTTTGCTTGATTTATTAAGTAAAAGCGTATATAAAATAATTTGAATGCTTTCAGATATTTATAGAGTTGCTAATCTTCTGACTGGTTATGCTAAATTCCACAGGCAACACAAAAGGAACAAAATTTGCTAATCCGGCAATTTTTGTGAATATTCAATTCTTCAATTTTTTTTAAAAGCACATCCTGCTTTTCTCACTTTTATTAAAAAATAATTAATTTTTAACAATATTTAGACCTTACGTCACATTACTGTTACCAAATTTTCATATTTATTGATGGAGATACATGTGGTATACCTGGAAAACCGAGTTCTATTCTCAACCTTTTGACATTCACAGCTCATCATTTTATTGTGCCCCATACTTTCTAATCTCATTTAAAAAAAATTGCTCAATAAATAAATAATAAATAAAATACAAATGGTGAAAAAAGTTGCAAAGGAACAAGATGAAATTTTTACAAAGATGTGAAGTAGAACTTTGCCTAGAATTTTGTTTCGAAATTTACCCCACTAAACTTCTAGTATACTTTTAATAAATACTAAATATTTTTATTAGTATACATTACTTTACATTGGTATTCTATTAAGTAAAATTTAATCATAATTTATTTCAAAATTTTTGTCTTTATATTATTATTTTAATAATTGATTTTATGAAAGTATAAAATTTTATTTATTCATTATTAGTATACACAAAATCTATATACAGTACAAAGTCAGTAATCCGGACGTCCATTATCTGGAATGGGTCAAAGCCACACACTTACGCATACGCGTTTGATGCCTGCATCCGCTACGCATGCGCGCAAAGCCAGTAAAAGCATTTACACATGTGTGCTTCTAATAGTGAAGAAAGTGACAAAGAGGTTATTGAAAATGAAAAAAATTCGATTTAATTTTGAACAGTGGAACTTTGTAACTGAACAAAAAATTATGTCTGTTTATAGAAGAGAAAATTAAAGAGAAAGTATTAGCACAAAAAAAGAAGCAATTTAAACAACTTACATTGAAAGAAATGTTTAATAAAGTAAACAAATAAATATTAAGCTTTTTTTTTGTAAATTTTGATATCCTTTAGATCATAATTGCTCTTTATTTCATAAATTACAGTTTCATATTTTTAATTGTATAATTTCTGCATGCCATCTTACCAGGTTTAAATTGATGATCTATAATCCGGAATCGCCAAAGTCCTGACGAGTCCGGATTACGACTTTGTACTGTATACAGCAAAAAAAAAAAAAAAAAAAAAAAAAAATTAGCAGTCAGAGGTTTAAATAAGAATTCACTATAAGCACATCCATTAAGATAGTTTATTTATTATTTGTTGTTATTACTCTAATGATTTGAACCATACTTTAAATGCAACCAAGTTTCATGAGTTTTCATTTTATGTGTTATTACTTTAATAAATCATTTCCTTCATGTTGAACAACCTTATTCATTCTTTAAGTGCAAAAGTCCTTTTACAAAATCTAAATTATACTTCAGTAATTTCAAATTCTTAACAGCACTCCAAAAAACATTATTTCAATCAAAACGTGTACAGTGCTCGCATACTTAGTATTTTCTGAACACATAATTTTTCTGTTGTTAAAAATAAAAGCTAAGGTAATTTCAGTTTATTTAAAAGAAAAGCTACTGCTAACAGATTAAATCAGAGGGAAGTTGATTCAAATGCATTTCTCATAAAAATAAAATTATCCTCACAACTGAAATTTTAGAAGATTAAGTGTTGGCTTTCCATATATTATTTTATTCAACTATTAGTTTCTTGATACAAGCTAACTAATGTAAGTTAATTAATTCAGAAGATTAAAGGGGGGCCTTTTAACAGTTTGAAAACATTTGTTTCCAAAATCATTTCTTTCTTTTTTGGAAAGAATTTACATAGTGATATGATTTATGATTAGGTTTATAATTAAAGGCTAGATATATATTTACTCAGTTAATATCAAAATATAAGGTACTTTTCCGTTTGGCCGGGGCAATTTTCCATTTCGCCAGCACAAGTGATAAAGTCGCCGAAAATGGTACAACCAATGCCAAACCGAATATCCTCACTGATAACCTTTCACGACATATTTTCAAAACAAGTCACTGCTATTTTTTATCAGATTGATTGTTTCTTTCAATATTGGCATACAGTTACATAGAATTTTTAATTATAATATTGAAATAATTCTTGCATTTAAACTTGTATTCCATACTAAGATTTAACTTGAAATTAATGTAGATAATTACTGAGAGAATCAGATTTTTGTAGTGTAGTTTATGTGAGATGAGATCATTTGGGATCATATGATATGAACCGACGTATCAAGATGTTGTACCATGAAAACATATTAAATTCTTAAATTAACATCTTTTTACAAATATGTCAAAAAATTAATGAAAATTTGGGATTTGCCCAGGACTGAGGAAGAATTTGTCAGATTCTTTCAAGCGAAAGGCGTTTTGCCTAACATTACTATTTGTGATAATAATCATGAAATGAAATTATGTTTCGAAGACGAAATTCAATGGTGCTGCAACCTTTCAACTTGTCGCAGTAAAAGAAGTATACGGAAAGGTATATGGTTTGAGTCATTGAGACTGAGTTTCTTGAAGTGTGTAAGATTTATTTATGGATAAAATAAAGAATTAATTTCAGTTAAATAGTGTGAAAAGCAGTTGCAAATCAATCACGGAACAGTTGTGAATTGGAATAGCTACATGTGAGAGGTTTGTGTGGATTCTTTACTTAAATGTCAACAACGACCTGGTATGATCGTTGAAGTGGATGAAAGTATGTTTACGAAGCACAAAAACAACGCGGGATACATGTGGCAAAAGGACACATTTGAAAAAATTTTAAATTATATTAAAATATTTATGCCTCCAAAATAAAAAAAAATTTAGAACTAAGATTTGTTAAAATTTTTTATGTGTATGCTGACAAAATATCACAATAATAAATATCTGGTAGGCGAGATTTGCGCCGGCGAAACAGAAAAATATCAAATATAATTTTGCAAAAGTCTTATCCAAATAGTTGGAATAAACACTAAAAAAACACAGAACTAGATTTAATGTTCAACTTAAGGTAACAATAAATTAGTACAGCACATGTATATCACTTTCACTATTAATTAACATCACAAAATAACAAAGATACAATATATACAAACCATAACAATAAAATCCGATTATGGCACTTTGAAGACAGCAATTTTCAGCCGGTCTAAGTTCATGTTACAGTTGTTATGTAATGTTACATTTGTCAGTTAACTCTTAACATTTTGGAATTTGTACTATTTTAATGCATATAGATCACCATTTTCCTCTTTTTGACCAATCTTTTGGAGTCCAGTGTAATGCTTGTGAATCTATACGTATTATTCGCTTTGCAGCAGCTCTATGATATGCCTCTAGTACTTCTTTGGTCAAAGTAATAATATATTGTCCTTTGTAGTAATGAATCAAATTAAGGTACTGTAGCGTGGATATCACATCTTCCTTTTTTATACTTGTTTGCTCCGATATTTCTCTGAAAGATATTAAAAGAGAAATTTATAAAATAAAAATTGAAACTGAAATAAACACAGTACTGCAAATAACAACTTATACACACGTTTGTGCAATATCATATTTCTGTGCATATTTTTATGCTTATTATTAGTTTATACACAGAGACATAAAGTGATTATTAAGATTGAAGTTTCAAGAATAGCAGCTAAATCCATATGTCTTACTTAAACAACCTCTTCAACTTTCCATTTAATATTAATTAAATTCTATTTAAATGTTCAATAATATTTGACCTAGTGTGTTCAAGTGTATAAATGTGCATCTTGAAATGTATCTAAACAATTAGCGCAGTACATAGGAAGGTTTACTGAAATATGCTATACATTTATCACATAATTATTTTTGCCTACTTTAAATTAGATTTTAAAAAATTTACACAGAAACAAAAATTTATAAAAAAAAAAAAAAAAAAAAAAAAGATGTTATAAATTACTTACTGAATTGTTATCTGAGGTCTTTCTCCTGTTTCCAGTGGTTTAACATTGACTAGAATTTCTAAAATGGTTTCAGACCAGTAACTTCTATAGGAGAGTAGACCTAAGTCTGAAAGGGGTTTCTCCGGAGAACCAGTTTTACCTTCAAATTTTGAAAGCTCATAACCTAAGACAGATTAAATGTAGAGGGAATGTATTTAAATCAGCAATTTTCAAACAATTATTTCAAAATTCATTGCTCTTTAAATGGATTTTGTGCTAAATCTGAAGTTACAAATATCCATTCAAAAATAATTGAAGTATCCCCTGCATCATGAACTAATTATTAAAACATAAATCATATTTCATTTCATCACCTGCAAACTTACTGAATTCTATAAGCATTTTTCCATATCCTTTTCTCTGGTATGGAGGAAGTGTTAAAATACAAGCTACATTATAATCCTCAGTAGATTCTTTTCCTAAATAATAAATAAATAAATAAAGAAAAAAAAAAAAAAAAAAAAAAAAAACATGTACGATTTATACATTTAAAAATATAATTTCTATTAGAAACAGAACTTGAATAAAGTAATTCCAACATTTAAAATTATTAGTGTTCATGCTCTGTGTGTGGATCAAAACAATACATACTCAGAATATGATAAGAAATATATTTAATTCTTACAAGGTTAATATCCAGAAAAAATATTTAACAATAATTAAATATATTTTCTCTGATTCTTTTTATGATTATTATATTCCAAATAAGCATTGAATTTTTAAAAATCTTGGCATTGCAAGACAATACTATGCATTTTCCCTATAATAGAACTATAAGAATTAGTAATATTTTGAAAACAGACTGCTTGAAAGATGTTAATTTTATCTTGAATGTCAATGGAACATAGAAATTATTTGTTTGAAACAAAAATATATTGTTTCAGTCAATAAAATACATGTGCATTGTTTGGATATTTAAAAATAAGACTAGAAATTTACAAAATATTTCTTGCTGCAAAAATAACTAAGTACATCAGCACTGAAACGGAAACACAGACATCAAAGAAATAACAATAACAGCATGCACTCAGGACCTATAACCTATATATATATTTTTTTTTCAGAAGCTTCAGTGTATGTAAAAGTTGTTTAAACTCAAAATAAGTAAATGTACAATTTTACCTACCAAAAAATGGATGCAAATTTCAGCCCCACTCCCAATATGGCTAATTCCACAAACTTGCTTAACTTTTGCTAAACAACTTTTACAAGTTGAAATAATTAATACGCTATAATTAAATCTAACTTCATTTTACAACGAAAACTACTCATTTTAGAGTGAGCAAAGCTGTGAGGGGCTGGGAATATGAGTAAATGTCAATCTATAACCTAAAAATGACTTCAACCTGTTTGTATCAAAATGCAATCGCAAAAAGTGAAACAAAAGTCACAAAACAATTTTGTTTTTTTATAGTGAACAAAATTTCTCAGTTAGCAATACAGATTTACTACATTACAGATTACATACAGATTTAAAGTTTAAATACTGCATACTTACTCCGCCACCACCACCACCACAAAAAAAAAAAAAAAAAAAAAAAAAAAAAAAAAAAAAAAAAAAAAGTAGTAATGTTTTGTATACACTTTCTTGAAAAGAACATTACGTTATGGTAAGGAAAAATGTGTACTTTTGCTAGTCACCTGCATGACACAAAATGTTATCACACTAACCTTTGAAAAGTATCCAACAATATGAAATCCACTATTATCTAATTCTGTCATAACATAAAACAAAAACGGGTCAGTATCATAATACAGAGTTTTGTGATCAAGGAAACACTTGGCTAACAAACATAGATTTTGAGCATAAACCTAGAAAGAGAGAAAAATACAATATAACAAAAAGTAATTCTACATAAATTTAAAACACCACATAGCAGCATAAATGCCATACATGGAATTTCATAAAAATCGCAAATTACATGTGTCAGTATTAAATATTTAAACTGCAAAAATTAACTGTTTACACACAGATAACCTCTTAGTAATGAAAACTAGATATAATACATATTACTGCAAAGGGTTATTGAACTCTGTAATAAATAAGACATATTTTTAAACATAAAAATTTTATAACATTAAATATATTGAAATTCCATAAGATATTTTATCTGTAGAATTCTACAGCTTTCAGAGTATGCAGTTCTTTATTTCCCAACTTAAGAGCAAGTAAACATTCTTAATTTGTTATTATCATACAGGCAGTCCTCGACTTTCACACAATTTGCTATTCTGCACATTTTAAAAAATTCAATTTTTTAAAGATTTTTAGCACTAATGAAAAAATTTACTAGCGTGTTAACTGTTTTTGGCTTACCCATTCCATCTGTGTCCCCCCCCCCCAGTCTCGTCAGCAAGAGGCATTCACGGCCATGACAAGGTAAGGAGTGGGGTAACATATGTCACAGACACATTACTTTCTACAAAACTGGTGGACTTTTCAAAATCATAATCACTACTGTGTTATTCCGAGCAAGAGGTCAAAATAGATTCAGTCTTGCAGTATGCCATATGTCAATGTGTTGTGTATTTCGCCAATTTATTTGTTCAGGATTGCCATTCAAACAGGAGAATGAAATTCCCTGACTTTTCCAGGTGTGTTTTAAGAAAATTTCAGTCTATCTGCCTAGTACGTGTTGGCTGTGCTGAAAGGTACATTAACTGTGGTGCTATTTAAAAACACAAAAATCTGACAATTACATATGTCTTTTATATATCTATGTAATCCCTAAAGCATTAATATAATGGGAGTTGTTTTCTCCACTGAAGATTGAGTAAAAAATGTCTTTTTTTGCAGACATTTTGCAGCTAAGCGAAAGAAAGAAATCTATTTAATGATATTTTAAAATAAATTCGGGTATTTTATATTTATTTAGCAACATACATAAACAAACAATATATGCATTGAATTTTGCGATGGTATGTCGTCATACTGCTAGAATTAGTTTCAGGAGTATGACAGAAAAATTGTCTAAAATTTTAAAGCATTATTAACTAATAATAAATCAATTTTGGGATAAATGACTTAATGACTTATTAATGACTGAGTGATCAGTCTTAATGACTGATTAATGACTTAATAACTGATTAAGTCATGATTAATCATGACTTAACGACTGATTACTGTTGTTTCGTTTTACTGCAAAATAACAAAAGGCAATTATTAAAAAAAAAAAAAAAAAAAAAAAAAAAAAAAAAAAAAAAAAGATTTTGTGGTAAAATGCTAGTATACGGTACGGCCTTGGAATGGTTTTGAAAATTGTCGCTAACACCAAAATGACCCATTTACTGCTCATCATAATGTCGCCAAATCCCGCGTGTACCATATACTAGGATTAAACTGATTTTGTTTTATATGAGAATGGGAAGGCATTTTCTTTTGTTCAACATGCAAATCAAAGTTGATGGAAATTTGCTCTGCCTTTCTAAAAGACAATCTGATAGAAGCTGCAAAAATGGACTCTACCTCAGCTGCCTGAATGGCGCTCACGAGATACATAGTTTGCCAAGAAAGCGATCGCTTCCAACGTTGGCGTTAAATTGATAAACATGAGTGAAAAACAGCACTATCCATACGAATAAAAATAAATTAAGGAGTCATTTATCATAAACTTCATACGATTGAGACAAAGATAGAAATAATTCAATGTTCTGAAAATAGAGAATCTTTTGCTTGAGTTGGACATTTGTATGATGTAAACAGATCTACAATATGTTAAATTTTGAAAAATAATAGTAAAATTAAGGAATACATTGAAAATTGAGAAATATTTCTTCAAAGATTATTTCTAAAGACACAGCATAGTGATGGATGAAAAAGAAAGGTCTTTGGCATCATTGATTGGTGATCAACATCAAAATAATGTCCCTAAGAATTTTTCGATTACTCAAGCTAAGGCTCTTAGTTTACATGAAGACTGGAAAGACTAGATTAAATGCAGATTAAAAACACAGTGTTTTAAGCAACTAATAGCTTGTTCACCAAATTAAAAATAATATATTATTTGCATAATATTAAATTCAGTGGAGAATCAGTTGATATTGCAAAATCATTTATTTTCTCATTGTCCAAAATTACTGTAGATGGAGAATTTTCTCTTAGTCAAATATTCAAGGTAGAGAAGACAAGTTAATTTTGGAATTTTTTCTAAAGAAGAATCAGTTGCCCTGGACATAAAACTGCCCAAAGGCGACTGGCATTGCTTCTTGGTGGAAACTTAGCTGATGATTTAAATTGAAGCCATTGTTAGCTTACCAATCGGAAAATCCATGAGCACTGAAAGGGAAAGATAAAGAATTGCTTCCAGTCATTTGGAAATCAAATAAAAATGTCTGTGTTACTAGGTTGATATTTAAAGATAGGCTAACTTTTCATTTTCTAAGACAGTTATGCTATATTATAAAAATTAATATTTGCAATTTGAAGTATTATTATGCAATACTCCAGAATGCCCAAAACTCTGCTGAGTTTACACCAGAAATAAATCTTTTTCTTCCTCTCAATACAGCTTGCCTCATACAGCCAATCAAACAATGATAGCTACGTTTAAACGATACTGTATGAGGATAATAATGAATGATCAAACAATGATAGCTACGTTTAAACGATACTATATGAGGATAATAATGAATCAGGCCATCACAGTATCTAATAGGGAAGGTGAGCCTGCATTAAGATATTTTTAGAAGAATTATAATATATGAAAAGCAATAACTAGCACCAGAGACTCATTTGCTGAAATAAAATGAGTTGAAAATGAAAGGTTCCTGGAAACAATCATGCTTACAAATGATGGAGTGATTTTATAAATTTTGGTGAAACACCAGAAGCTATAACAGATGAAATTGTTAACCTAATGCATGAACTAAACTTGATAGTGAGCAACGAAGATGTTAATAAGTTTACTGAGCCTTTTTCAGTATTTCTGGTCAAATGAATATTCAATTGAGCAACACCAGAACAATAATGAAATACACAATGAAAGTTAGGAAGATGCTCATAAAAACATTCATACTTTGAACAATTAAAAATATGTATGATGCCTTCATACATCTTGACATATTTTTGACTGTCATGGAAGAATGCGACCTCAATGGAGAACCCATATCTCAAGTACACAGGGTGCTTGAGAAGGAAACAATATGTTATAGAAGTGTTTATTAAGTCACATTCAACTAATATTTGAAAGCACTTTAAACATGCCTCATTAACTACATTATGTATACATATTGATATAGAAATATTTTAAAACACAGTTTTTGGTTCATATCCTTTTACATTTCTCTACTTTCAAACAATTCAACAATTTGCACACACTTTCGGGAACCAATTATGCGCGAGAGTCGAGAGTTACCTGTATTCCCTATTCTAAAGAAGTGTTTATATGGTGTAAGCAATCAATTTATCAAAAGTAAATCAATTATTTCTAACAAAGATTTTAGGGGATGCAATTAGCTTCCTATTCAAATTTTACTATGAATGAAAAAAGCCATTTAATATAATTAGACCATATTAAAGCCACCTGGAATACTGCGCTACAGTACAAAGTCCGAAATCCAGACTCGTTGGGACTTCGGCGATTCCGGATTTTTCCGGATATTAGATCATCAGTTTAAGTCTAGTAAGATGGCATGTAGAAATTATAAAATTCAAAATATGAAATTGTGATTTATGAAATAATGAAGTATCAAAATAAAATTTGCAGCTATCATCATCAAGTTTAGCTATCATTTACTATACATATTTGGCTATGCATCATGATGAGCTTGGCAACTAACAACAAGTTTGTTCTGTTAAATTTTATCTTGCTTCTATTGCACGCTGAGATAATTAAGCCTGAATTATATTAGTTTAGTTATTTATTATACCTATGTCTATTTCTTGCACATGCTTAAGGCTTATTGAAGGCCGGTGCTAGATATCTTACCACCTGATACAGTCTATGTGAGTCCTAAATTCTGCAACCTGGTGCGGCCATATGAGTCCTGGCGCTGGTTTTGGGTTTATGTGAATAACAAATCAGTTATTCTTAATTCAAATAGCACTAAATGTAATCTTTGGGTTTATGAGTATTATCAACAAAATCTAATTTTAGCATATGGAAAAAATTTTTTGTTAAATGTTTCCTCATCAGCATTTTTTAGTGCATTCAACTTAAATCTGTAATCATCGCCAAAACATAAAGTCAACATAAAAGGTTACCATACTCCTTTATTGTTCAATTACTAAAAAAAAAAAAAAAAAAAAAAAAAAAAAAGATGATGTTTAGGCATTGCTACACGAGTCATTATTCAAGTTTCCATGTGTTGATAAACATGCGGTGATGAAAGGAAAGTATAATAAATAATGATTCCCCACGTTGGCATCAGATCAACAATATATATCTATGTAGAATATTTTGGTTTGAGATGTGTGCTAAGCAGATATGCAGCAACGGAGCCAAATTATTGATCCTACAAATTTATGCTAAAATGATTCTTTTTTCAATAACAAGGTATTATTTAGTGTCAAAGTTAAATTAAGAATCGGAACTCTCCAGATGTTTTACTATGTGCGAAGGAATCAGATGCGCATACGTAAAGCCTACGAGAAAAACGTTGTTGGTGGTTTTGAGGTCCGGATTTTAGATCATTTCGAATATTGGACATCCCTATTTCGAACTTATTTTTCATCTTAAATTAAATGAGAATTTTTTTAGCCTTCATTAAAAAATAAGAGAATTATTATTTTGGATTCCCAAAATTTGAGTACTTTTTTAAAATGTGGGGCTGAGGAATATTTTGGCTGGCTAACTGTTATTTTTTAATTTTAA